TAACATTTTATTTTGTAACGGATTCTATTAAATTTTCAATTGTAGAAGTTTGTTTGTTTGTTTGTTTTTTTTTATATAAATAGATACACGATATCTCTATAATATATTTAAAAAAAAACAATTTTTTTTTTTAAATAAGTTCAAGGTGAAAGCTCAAGTGAGTTAAATCAAAATTGCCAACGCGCGAGCTGAATGAGAGAGAAATGATCAAAACGGCGTAGGTGGCATCGCTTGCTGCGCGAGAGATCGCCTTTATGGCGCCGTGTTAGACTTTTAATTAAAAGCCTCCGTTGCCCCGGTATTATTGTCACGTTCCTGCGGGACGTTTGCGTGCCATCCACCAATTTTGCTTCTCATTTACGAAGTGCGCCACGACCGAACGCTCTCGCAATCGCGACTAATATCCGCATCGCGCAATTACTCGTTCGTCATTCAGTTGTTTTGCTGTCCTGTGGTACACCTCATCGTCTAATTAATCCATTGATACAAATAATCGCCTTTCTATGAATTGTATTAGCATGAAAATGTTAGCTGTAATCGCGCGTATCTCGCGGTTAATTTCGCGTGTATTGGCGAATCAATCTCGTAACGTGCGCGCGCGCGCGCGCACGATACGGACTAAAAGCTAAAATTGCAGGATATATAGATGAAAACATATTTCTTTTAATCATCTCTGTATACATATGTATCTTTTTTTTTTTTTTTTTTGAGAAAAATAATATTCTCATCGCGTGCGACGTCAACGTGATAATTCTCTGCGCGAGAGCCACTGGCTAATTCACTGGCGAGTTTACGACGCGTCGGTCCCTTGAATCGCGACGTGCCAATCGGATGAGCGCCACTCATGGAACGGATTTGTAGTAAGTGTAAGCAGAGCGGTACAAATGCGTCGCCACCGCCGCCGTCGTCGTCATCGTCGTCGTCGTCGCACTCGGCCGCTCGCGCTTACCCGCTTTCCGCGCGATCCCCGCGTTGAATCCTGTACTACGAAGCCGTGATGACGCAATGGCGAAGTGGAGGAGGTTGGGAAGTCTACGGACACAAAACGTGTCGCGCGCGAACATGCCTCTGTAAAAGCTCTGCGCCAGCTCTGACCAGCTGCTTCCCACTTCCTGCTGCTTTGTTGTTGCACTTTTTTCTTTTATTTGTGTAATTTAAAACATCTTGTAGGAAAACCGTTGACTCTGATGATCGAAAGATATTTCGTTCACAATTGTATTACATGATTTATTTTGTAAAAATTCGTATTTTTTCAGTCCCGTCATACGTAATACGCGCAACGAAACAAAATTTGACGTTGGCCATATCTCATCGATGATATAGTTCGATCGCTAAAGAAATGTGTGGCCAGCACCTCGCTGAGACACGAGTTTCATCGCGCTTAGATGTGTAAAAATTAGAGTTGAAAAAAAAAAAACAGCTAAAAACAAATTAAAAAAAAGAATTAAGTAAGTTTGTACTTAGGTCGATGTTAAAGATTTTTATATTTGAAAAAACACAATATCAAGCATTGTTAAAGAAAAACAAAAATTGTCATAGAAAAAAAATAGAGTGAGAGAAGACACGGTAATGGGAACGCTAATTAACGATAATTTGTACGATTAAAATAGCGTTCTTAGTACACGCGGACTGTGTTCCGCAGTCGTGTACTATCAGTGCGATATACACCGGTCGTACGCAGTTACGGTACACCCACGGTAGTTAGAGCGAGGTGGGTCCCGGGGTGGAGAGAACCGATGAGCTAAGGTTCGTTCTAGAAGTCGCAGAGTCGGGTGGCATCGGGGCAGACAGCTGGCGGTGCGGCGCGGCGAAGCGGCCTCGGGTCGGGTGCAGATCGGAGCAAGGCAGGCGCGCCGCTCAAGTGCCTTGAGTCGGTATCCGAGCGGACGAGCATAGTCGAGATCGACCGAACGTAGCCGACGCGGCCGCGCGTGCCTCCCCGCGAAAAGAGGAGTCCGGAGACCTCCCCAGTGGAGCACGACGCACGTAGCCAGTAGTAGCTGGCGACTTCGCGGGGCGTCAGGTTCTCCGTATCCGGGAGAGGATGTCGTCGCACTGCATTTCCTGACGAACCACACGTGCACGACGTGACAGCTCGCGTAATGACACGCAAGCATCCTCGGCCTCGCGGCAACTCGCGAGATGTAATCCGTCACTCCGGAGCACGACGAGTTTGTGCGTCGCTCGATCTAACAAAATCGCTCTCTTATCAGTCACAATAGATAAAAAAAAAATAATATATACATATATATATAAAAAAAAGACCAATCTTTAATAAGGACGAAATTTATTTGCAATACAATTTAAGGAACAATTAATTGAGAGAGAGAGAGAGAGAGAGAGAGAGATCGTGCAGTCAGTGTATCGATTCTGGCAGTGTACTGTTTTTGATCACAGTGAATAAATCGCAGTCAATATGTATTGTGTAATATATGACTGATGTATGTTTGCAATACAGTGAACTGACAAACATTTGTTAAATATTGTTATAAAAACTGGTTATAATACAATAACGGAGTTTGTAAAAAGATTATTTGCATTTGTGCGAAACAAATTTCTCTCTCGTCAAAATCTTTGAAAACGAATTTATAAATTTAACGCGTATATATGATATTTATTATATTAAACATTCTCGCAAGATATTTAAAAAAGCACGATGAAATATTATTGTGAGACGCATGTGTTTTTGCGTGCATGTGTGTGAACGCGACGCAAGATTACACGGATGTTTTGCGATAATTGTAATTTTTTAATCATAATATCAAACAAAATAACTTCATTACACATTTATATATCGTTATCGAAGCTGCTTGTTGGCAACTCTTATCGCGGGATGCGCGAGAATAACCTGCCTGTGCTTCGTAAACATTACGAATGTAATCGTTCTTTCGATTAAGCGAATCGGTTTTTTCGAATTATCATTCTGGGCACGTTGTGGTCGAAAAAAACCAGCGCCGCTGTTTTATAATCGCGTGACACGCTCGATTGACACACTCGCGAGAAACGATCTCCGGGAGAAGAACCGTGGTGAGAAGAGTCTTTGGCTCTTGAAGTAATGAAAGTGAAACTTTGAAGCGACAAGAAGATGCAACACGGACCGCGTCGATCGCGAACCGTAATCATAAAGATGAAAAGTACGTCACCTATGGGAGAAAGAAGACACGATACTTGATGAGATACGAAAAAAAAAATCGAAAAACGCAACAACAAAAGACGAAGACAGAGGACAGCGCAAAAAAAAAAAAAACAAAAAAACAAGAGAAGAAACGGAAAGAAAGAGTAACGACGAATCGAGAGAAAAGAGAGCGGAAACACGAAGAGGGAAAGATAGATAGAGATTTCTGGGCACGCGCACTCCACCTGCTAGCGTGTAGTGGCACGCGCCATTCTCACCGCCTTTTCCCTGCTACCCCCATCGTCACTCACGCTGCCACCTCACCCTTCCCTTTCTCTTTCTCTCTCTCTCTCTCTCTCACATACACTGTTTCTCTCTCTTTCTCCCTCTCTCTCTCTCTCTCTCTCTCCTCCCCGGCCATCCTCATCTCTGTTCTATCGCTCACTCTCTCTCGCTCTCCTGTGCGCTCTCTCCTGGCCCTACCNGGCGGCCGCCGCCGTCGCCGCCGCCGCTTTTTCTCCCCCTCCCGCGGGAATCCCCTCCCGTGGTCCTCTCTCACGCGTGCCGCGGCCACGAAGAGACCGGGACGCGCGGGAGTCAATCGCTCGCGGTCTTCGACAGGGCGAGCACTCAAGGTCCTTGCGCTCCTATCTTCCCCCTTCGGTGAACAAATTCTTAATTGTATCAAACGCTCGCCAAATTTCTTTTTGGCCTATTGAAAGAACATTGCTCGACGCATGGACGCATTTCCTTGTTTGCGACGGCTGTAAAAACACCGTTTTACGCATTCTGTCAGATAAAAACAGATAAAAGAAAAAAGTGAGAGAGAGAGAGAAAGAAAGAAAGAAAGAAAGAGAGAGTATGTGTGTGTGAGAGAAAGAGAAAGAGAGAGAGAGAGCAAGAGATTGGAAAGATATTCGGCTGTCTCGTGCCGTGATTCGTGCGAGTGCCTTTTTTTATGGATTAGCAAACACGATCCTGTGTCCTATTGGTTTACTTAAAGGGGCGCAGCGATTACCTGCTTGCTTGCTTGCTCGCTCGCTCGCTCGTGGGTGCTGGAAGACCGAGTACGTCGCGAAGACGAGAGTCGTCAGCCGATGTTTGCGTATGAAAGAATCCGGTCGCCTTCGTTCGTCTCATCCTCCTTCTGCTGTGCGTCCGCTGCGAGGAGGGAGGCGTGCCGCGCGATTTCCGTGCTTTAAACCGAGCGAACAGCGTGGCAACGGAGAGGACGACGACGACGACGACGACGACGACAACGAGGAAGAGATCACAAGGACAACGCGTTTCTTCTTTTTGATAAAGAAAAGAGAGAACGGGAAGAAAAGTGCGGGAAGCAGAAAAAAAAAAATAAACAGGAAACGGAAAAACGCGGGGACGCAACAAGAGGAACAGCGACGCGTGCTTGAAACGCGTCATATTCCTTCCATCGTCGATACGAAAATAGTCTTCGCGAGAGTAGAGGCGCGCGAACACACGCTCGCGCGCGAACAAAACAATCCGTAGTACCTACTTTGGAGGAGAGAGGATGAACGCAGAAGAGTGAGGCGATAATAACAGTTCGCGTTTCGTGTGCGGCGAACGGTGATTGGAATCGGGACGGTTCTCTCTCTTTCTGGTTTTCTCGTCGGTGTGAGGAAAGGCGTGACGATTTTTGCAGAAGCTTCAACAATCGCCAACATTTATCTTGTGTGGTGTGGTAGCGACACGATATATAACTTTTCTCTTTCAAGCCGAGAAGTGTGGACGGCGCTCATTGCGCGCGAGCAATCACCTGTTCGCCGGGGGGGCGCGCGCGCGAGCGAGTTATTCGCCGACGACGACACGACACAACGATCGTCGACGCGAGAGAAGCTTACGTACGCGCGCGCGACGGCGTCGCAGAGAGAATCCGCGCCGCGCGTTATTCCGCGTCGCGCTCTCCGCGTAAAACCACCTGTTGACGATTTACAAGGGAAAATCGAAGCGCGCGCGAACCGTCGTCGTCGCGATTTCATACAGTTGTCATATCGCTCGGACCGAAAAATCGCGAAGAGAATGATTTATTCCCGCGCGTGAAATCGTCGCGTACGTGTGTGTGATACGAAAAAACGAAGACAAACGAAGATCCGTCGTTAAGAGAGTCGCGCGGAAATGTAAATTCATCAGTTCGCTATTTCTGAAACGCGCAAACTTTGACGACCGTTTGCGCTGCGCAATTATAATATCGTGAAATTTCACAAAAGACAAAACTGCGCGTCGCACATTGACGGGTAGACGAGTAAACAATTGTTGCCGCCGTCGCGATTGTTTTTCGCACTGAGCGCGTTATCATCGTGTCGCGATACGTATCGTATCGTCGGATCGCACGCCGAGTGTGAAAACCCCGGCGAGTTCAGAGATCAGGAAAGAGTTAACGCGATACGCGGTCGTGCAAGGCCACGTTGAAACAAGTGCCGGCGTTCTCTCGGTGAAAGAAGGACCGGTGAAAAACTCGAGCGTGGAAGCGATTAATCGAGCGCGGGATTGATAAGAAAAAAAAAGAAAAAAATAAATTTTTTTCGAAACGTGCGAACGTAAAACACAATGTCAGCATGTTGATAAACGCGCGTTGATACACCTGATAGCTAGTCAAATTGTTAGATGGGCATTACACACATTTCGCGTACAGAAATCGAGAACGCTGCAAGCATGTCTCTGGAAGCGTGTGCGCTATAACGGAAGGATTGGCGCTGTAACATTGTAGCGAGAGAACACAAAAGAATTAAGTGACGGACTCTCCGGTACGGTTTTGTCACGCTTTTTTTTTTGTGCAATTTAAGTGGCGGTTAAGCATGTTACTCGATAGAGAGACTATCTAGATAACGATATAATCAGATCGAACTTTTGACGCGAATGTGTGGTTTTCTTGCGAATAATCAAGTAACGATTGAGTTTAATAACAATTATTCTCGAGAACTTGAATTTTTTTAATCGAGTGTTACGAGGGTCGAAAACACGAGCATCGCAAGGACGGAGAAGAGAACGCAAGAAACTTAAAGAGAGAACAGTGAGAACGTGTGTTCGAGAAAAAAAACAGTGAGTGAAAGAAAGCATGACACACAAGTTTTGTTGACATCTTCCTATCCAGCTACAATCGCAGAACGAGAACAATTTTTTTCAACAAGTTTCACGAGATTAGTCTTCTGTGGTGTCGACATAACAAGAGACGTAGAGGGGCATGACGGACCCTACCCGGCCAGGGGCCCCGGCCCGAGTGACCTATCTGTGAAAAGAAATTTTTCTTCACGTCATTCGTGCCACAATTAGACTTCTTGGAATGATGGTATGTTTATTTTTTTTATTCATATATGTAGTAATATTTTTTATTTGGTTTAAATTAAATAAAATTTATATACGTAGTAATATTTTTTATTTGGTTTAAATTTAAATAAAATTAGAGATGTTTGTGAAAAATTAAAACTGACGTTTAATATAATACGATATAATATAAAGCGATTATATAAAGTGTTCGCGATAATCAAGTTCGAAGCGTGCGATTTCTACAAGACGGTCTTATCTCGCGATTCAATGCGAACCTTTTCCTCGCTCTTAGCGTTATTCGATATAAATCGTCAGTTATTATGTTTTCCTCGCTCGAATTTGACCCGTCAACAGACAATAAATACGTTGATCAAGAAAAGGAAAATATACTCGTCATGATGTTTGTCAGAAGAGTCACGCAAAATATACAAATTTCGCTGATATAGTTTACAACGTGTTTAGAGAAATACTCAGCTTAAATACGAAAAGATTTAATGAAAAAACATAATTCTACAATATACATATAATTTCAATTCTTACATACATATATATATATATTAGGTCTACCGGAAAGTTCTGTCCGTTTTTGGAATAAAACAAAATACAAATTTTTCTTAATTTTTCAAAAATGGGATATACAAATTGCCCTCACGCTGGCAAGAAATCATTAATAACAATGGCAATTATATTATTTAATAAAGTTTATTGATGGTAAGAAAAATTTGTTTTTTGTATTTTTTTTTTGTATTTTGTTTTTTGTATTTGTATTTGTATTAAAAAAAATCGGATTTACTCTTTTTGTATTAGGTCTACCGGAAAGTTCTGTCCGTTTTTGGAATAAAACAAAATACAAATTTTTCTTAATTTTTCAAAAATGGGATATACAAATTGCCCTCACGCTGGCAAGAAATCATTAATATAACAATGGCAATTATATTATTTAATAAAGTTTATTGACGGTAAGAAACATTTGTATTTTGTTTTATTCCAAAAACGGACAGAACTTTCCGGCAGACCTAATATATATATATATATAAGCTCAGAAACTTTAATTTAGAAGTTACAAACTCGTGAAGAACCTTCAAGTTAGAAACTGCTTAGCTTTGTGCGTAAACGCATCGTGTTAAAGGTATATACTTTCGGTGTGTATGTATTTATTAACGGAAAAATACCACTAAAAAGAAAAGCTTTCATTGTTTCGCGTTCATTTCTTGCGTCCATCTTCCTCTCGGAGAAGGATATGAAAGAAACCGGAAACTGCTGACCGTCGTAACTGTATTACGCACCGTACAAGTCTCCGTTGTTTGTATTGAAATCGCGCCTTGTGTCTCTCGAAGCATAACACACAGGTGCACCCGTACCGTAAGTTTGTATTGCAACACCGACGTGCGCCGCGCTAACTCCTTTGAGCTGAATGGCAAGAGAGAGAGAGAGAGAGAAAGAGAGAGAAGATGAGAGTTTATTCATCGCCAAGACTTGAAATTGCGCCGCGACATTTGTCTTTCTAATCGGCGCTCCTATTTTTGTTTACGCGTTCCGATTACACTTTTGTTATCTCTCTCGCCTTCTTAGCGATTCATAATAACTATCGCAGTGTTATGTAAATCGCGATTGACGATTATCAAATTTAAATTCAAAAATACATGCGTTAGAGAAAGCTCAACGATTGGCTGTAAAGAATCAGAACTTTGCTGGCGATCGAGAGAGTTAAACGGAGTAGGTTGAAGCTCGAGCGGAAGTGATTCACCCTTTTAATTCCATTCACTCGACGTTACTATAAACGTAGGCTTTATTTCTGTCGCTCTCCGCTTAGAGGGAGATCGCTCAAAAGAAGCAAATAAATGTTTCGGCTTTTCTGATTTTGTTCTTTCTTATGAGCAATTTTCTCTCTTCTTCGGTGTTATAACGAACTTTTATCGCGGATATACATTTATCATAAAGAGATTTGGCAAAAGAAAATTCTATATATGATTTCGTAGAGCAACTCTTGTTTTTCGCGCGGCATTAAAAAAGTTAGCGGTCACGATTTACCGGAACGCAACGGAATACGCGAAGTGCCGCAATTCGCGTTGAATCGCGATATCGTCAATTCGAGAGTATCATTAATACACAAGATCGCTATTATAACAAATGAGACGAAGCTTTGAGATTGTGTTTTTCTTCATATAATAAACGTGCGCACAACGAATGAATTTCGTCCAGTTGAAACAGTCTCGTTCGTTCGCTCACATCTTCCGCGCTCGCGGGAACGAACCCTGCGGGATACACACAGACTGCATGCGCACACGTACCAGGACAATAGATTGACCGCCGCGCCGGTGTCTAACGGCATTCTGGCGGTCGAGCGACCGATAATAGGGGCGTCCATCGCGCTCCGACGCAGCTCGCGGACATTCCGCGCGCGCTCTCTGATGCACCGGTTCCGTTGCACTAATGACCGGTTCGCGATCCGGGGCGTTAGTCGGTAGAATCGAACCACTCATACACGTCGATGCGGCGTGCCATACCGTTCCGGCATCCTCCGGTATTTTTTAGAGTCCACGACCGCATCCAGTCGTCGCTTCTTTGATCAAACGTTGACGTCGACGGTTTGCGTTGCTCGTGATAATCGGATAATTAGCAAGTATTATTTCAGTTTCAGAAAGTATTGTCGAACCTTGGTCGGGAAATTACATATTTGTAATCTATTATGATAATTGGCTTTTCCAACGTTTACATGAATTAAATATTCACATTATGTGTGTGTGTGTGCTCACGCGCGCGCACACATGCACATGCACGCGCACACACACACACACATGTTTTTTAATCCTTTGTGATCTACGAGTAAGACAGACCGGAGAGATCTGTGAGATCCACGCGACTCTCTTAGATCTACTCAAAAATTGCATTTTTAGAAAAATTAGTTTTTTTTTTAAACGTTAGCATCTTCAAAACTACTAGATTTTTTAAATTTGATTTTTAACTTTTTTTTGATCGACGTAGAATTGTTCACACTTTTGAGTCAAAAAAAAAAAAAAACAAAATTGAAAAAATTGAAGACCACAGGGGAAGAACTTGATGAGTCAATTGTTTTTCGATTTTCTGTTTTTGATAGTTATTTGGTAGTTAAAATGGAGTACTTTAAGTATCCAAAACAAGCACAAGGAAAATTCTTGATAGATTTCGAGATATAAACATTTTTATAAAACACGTAACACAGAAACACACATGTACGTTTCGAGCTTTAAAATCGCTCTTCTCTAAAATTACGAAAAATGTGACTTATTCAAGTTCTTCCCTTGTGGTCTTTGTATTTATTTTTGGCGGAGATATTTGATTTTAAAATCGCGCAGGTCTCTCATATACCCGGTCTGTCTCTCGTAGATCATTTTTGAGGTCTGCAGGCAAAGAGTTAAAAAAAACAATTGTGTGCGAAACCTAAACCTATCTGCAGGCAAAGGGTTAAACACTAGAATTACCGGCCACTCGAAATGACTGGTTTTAGATTTTTATTTAAAACTTACTCTCAAATTTCTGATATTGCGTATCAGAAATGTTTTATGACTTTTTTTGCAATATATAAAGAATTAAGTTTATCAATTTGTTCTTAAAAATTGCTAAAATGCAAAGCCATTAATTTGAGTAATTTTTAAACGAAAAGTCGCCACCCCAGTCATTTTGCACTGCTTCGGTAGTGTTAATTATCGCTAGATATATATTCTTGTCGTTGTACGGAAGAATTGTGTTGTCATCGTGCGGAATTTCACAAAAATGCGTATCTCAATTACTTGATATGATTTGAATTTATGCCACAAAAAAATAAGCAATAAAAGCGGACATAAAAACGTAACGTGAAAATTTCTCTAGAGCGCATTCCGTTATCTTCCGCGTTTCACTGAGTCAAAATTAGTCTAGCAATATTAACGTAACTGTGCTTTCAACGTAGCTTGCTTCTAGTTCGTAGCTATTATCTTGTGTAAAGCTAGTTCTCTCTTATCCAATCTATACTATTCATCACACGAGAATTCCAACTTGCTTTTTCTTAAAATGCCGTTTGTAATTGAAGTACATACATCTCGAGCGAGTATTTCTAAGTAAAAAAATCTCGTGCGCGCAATTTTGCATTTGTTTCAGTTTTCTTATGCGATTTAATAATTAACAATTAAATTCTCTCTCTTTTCGATACTTTTCTCTTCTTTCGAACTTCACATTACTTTTATTTATAAAATACATTAGAATCTTAAATATACCATGCCAGAGAGAGCATACTTTCTGTTTTATTGTACATTTCGATCTTTATCATAATCTCATCTTTGCAAATTTCACAAAATCATTGAGCACGCGTCAGAGACGAAAAGTCAAATTGCGGGCGGGAGCAGTTTACATGCAGTGACGCGTGGCGTGGCATCCCGATTTCTGGCGTGTCATAACAGGGGATTAAGCTTCGCGTATACATACAGGCAGACAGACGGACGTTCGGACGGACGGACGGACGGACGGCCGGCCGGCTCACGGCGCATGGCTGCGCGTCGGAATTATTTATACCACTTGATTACGCGCCGCGCGCGCGCTGCGCTGAGCCGAACCGGCCAGCGGAAATGAACGAGAGAACAAACGAGCGAGTTACAACGCGAAGGTGGTGGGTGATACTCTTTCTATCCCGTTGGCGCCTCCGTTTGCGCGGATCTCGCTATATTGGCAATCGATGTCGACGCGCCTGCAGACACTATATACACATAAGTATATATATAGATATAATATATATATATATTATACATACATATATACAAGCTTGGTCGTCGTTATCAGTGACGTCAGGAGCGCGATAACGAAGAAGGCAGTCGCGACGTGTACTGACATTGAGTAAAGTCGACGCATATACATATATGTAAATCTCTTTCTCGCTCGCTCGCTCTTTTCTTAAATTCAATGTATTATTTGACGCAAAATTTCAAAAATATTCTTGAAATATTCTTTTTATTGTAGAGTAGTCGCTTGTGTGTGTATCGATATAAAAAATTATCGATGTTTCATTGATGC